CCAGTTTGCTCCATGCTGGCAAAGATTTTGAAATTCTGTCTTACATGCTTTGGGCATGTGGCCAGGAAGGACAGGTCCTTGGAGAAGGACATTATGCTTGGAGGGGTAGAGGGAAGGAGCAGAAAAGGAAGACCCTAGATAAGACAGATTGACAATGACTATGGCAATGGAGGCAAGGATTCTGAGGCTTCGTCTGACATACTTTGGACATGTTGTAAGGAGGTCCTTGGAGAGGGACATCATGCTTGGGAGGGTGGAGGGACAGCACAGGAGGGGAAGACCCTCCATGAGGTTGATTGATTCAGTGACTGGGGTAATCGGGATGGGTGTGTCAGAGGCAGTGCGATTGGTGCAAGACAGAGCAGGGTTTAGGGCTGTTGTACATAGCGTCGCTATGAGTCGCAAGCAACTCGACAGCACATAACAACAACATGGCAATGGGGTCAGACGTGCCATAGGTGGTGAGGTTGGCTCAGGATAGGGCAAACTTCAGAGCCATTGTTCACAGTGTCACTATGAGTCATGGTCAACTCAGTACATACAACAACTGGTCTGTTACATATAGGTGGAATCCCTGAGAACATGGAATTTAGGCACCATTCAAACTTAAAACAGAACTCACCAGACAGTCAATTGTTAATGAAATCATAATAAGGTCTGTAAAGTAAACAATGACACAAAGGATGAACAATCAAATATATAGACCGGAAAAGCAGCATTTACCCAGGAACAAAGGTCAGAAAGCAGGAAGTGAGAGGAAAGGACAATGGAAAGCGTAAACAAAGGAAGTGCGAAGAGTGTTGTTACATTGTTGGAATTGCTTATCAATGCCACAAAACAGAATTTGTAATGATTGTTGAATATAATATATTGTTGGTTGTTAAATATCATTTGCTCAGCAGTTTCACCTAATAGAAGATTTTGGTAAGATTAAGAAACTATTTTATAAAAATTAAAACTTTTATATTTTAAAAAGCATCATGACCAAAATGAAAGATAACTCAGAGGAGAAGATAATTGCAAACTGTAGTTCTGAAAAGGTGCTTGTATGTTAATTAATTGTAAGGAGCTCTGGTTGGTTTAGTGGCAAGAAGTTGCATTACCAACTCAAAGACAGATGGTTTAAATCCACCAGCTGCTCTGCAGGAGAAAGATGGGCAATCTCTTCCCGTGTGATTTACTGCCTCTGAAAACCCACTGGAGGGTCAGCTATGAGTCAGTTCCAACTTGATGGTGCACAAGAAGTACATATATATATATATATATATGTATGTTATATTGGAGAAGAATACTAAATACTCTATGGACTATGGACTACCAAAAGAACAAATAGATATGTCTTAGAGGAAGTGCTACCAGAATAATCCTTGAAGCAAGGATGTCTAATCTTTGTTTCACATACTTTGGGCATGTTGAAAGGAGAGGCTTTTTCTTCGAGAGGAATACCATGTTCAGAAAGGTGGAGGACTAGTGGAAGAGAGGAAGACCCTTGACTGCAGCGACATCCCAAGTGTGTCAGAGATGATGAGGCTCAACAGGAGAGGACAGCGTTCATATCTGTTGTTTATAGGGTCACTATGAGTTGTAATTGACTCAAAGGCACATAACAATAGCAATATGAAATGATGAATCAGTGAAAACATTATGAATAGCAGCAGAACATTGTCTGACCTTGTGCTCAAAGTTGAGTTCTAGGATGGAAGACACTCAAAGTATGACTAGGGAAGAGCTGTCTCCTTAAAGAAAAATCTACCTTCATGACCTGGATGGAGTCATTAATGACCTTCACTCACTGATGTGGTATTACTCAAAATGAGAGGTAACCAACACGTGCTAGAATTGTTGTTCTTGTTGATAGGTGCTATTGAGTCAAGTACAACTCATAGTGACCCTGTCAACAACATATCTGAACCCTGTCCTATCCTGTGGTATCCTCACCATCTCTGATACACTTGAGTCCATTGCTGCAGTCACCATGTCAATCCATCTCATTGGGAATCTTCTTCTCTTTCGCTGACTCTCTACCTTTCCAAACACGCTATCGCTCTCTAAGGGACAGCCTCTTTTAGCAAGATGTCCAAAATATGAGAGCCAAAGCTTTGTCATCATCGCCTTCAAGGAGCACTCTGGCTGCACCTTTTCAAGATACACCCGTTTGCTTCTTTGGCAGTCCATGGATATTCAGTGCTCTTCTCCAACACTACAACTCAAAAGCATCAATGCCTTTTCTGTCATCTGTCATTCTCAGGGATCCCTTTCATTGCCCACAGGGAGAGCTAGATAGGCCCTTTATGAGGATGGGAACAGGAAGACCACAATAGGATAAATAAGTGAGTGCAGCAGATACTCAGCAAGGAAGTTTATTAAAGCAAAGAACACCTTGCTAGAGGTTCAAAAGTTTCCCAGGTTTGACTCATTAGTGAGGATAGGACATGCAGTACTGAGAGAAAGACAGTTAAAAGCAGGCAGAAGAGGAAGATACTCTCAAAAAGAATATCTTTTTACTCTCCCTTCTGGGATGAGAAGGAGAAAGAGACTTTCTCTTCCTCTGCCTTTATTATATAGGCTGGAAGTTTCATCAGACTGGCCACTCGCTGAAATTCCTTGAAGTTTCATGAGGTTAAGTAAGGTCTTCCTGGTCTCAATGAGGATCTCTTAAAGGTGACCATATTAGTGAAACTCCATTAGTTCAAAAACACAGTAAGGTTGGACTTCCTATCTATTAGGATGTCTACTAAACTCAAAAAGGCAGATAATAGCAGTGTTAGAAAGAATAAGGAGAGATTGTAACCCTTATACAATGCTGGAGGGAATGTAAAAGTGTGCCACCACTTGGAAATTCTGGTAGATCTCAGAACAAAGAATAGAGTTACCATTGACCCATATGCACTCCTAATTACCTATCTAAGAAAATAAAAACACAAAAAGTTGCCCCAAATGTTCACAGTAGTATTATTCATAATAGAAAATTGGAAGCAACCTAAATATCCATCAACTGAAAAAGGCATGAATAAAATGTGTATATTCATACAATGGAATGTTATTCCATCCATACAATGGAGTGACATACTGATACATAACACAATTTAGAGGAACTTCAAAAATGCTATGCTAAGTGAGCAATGTCTGACACAAAGTACTACATGATGTACAAGTCCATTTAAATGTCCAGAATAGGCAATTATCGAGAGACCAAAAACAGTTCCACAAAAGAGAGATGGACAATCTCTTCCCATGTGATTTACAGCCTCAGAAACCCAGTAGAAAATTGGCTATGAGATTTCGAGTAAATAAGGAGACAGAAGAGTAAAGTGGATAATGTATCAAGTATATTCAAACCGAGAAGTCTGAAGTTTGAATCAACCAGCTGCCTTGCAGAAGAAAGAGGAGACTCTACAAAAGGGAAGGGACTACCATTAGACTTTACCACCTAGGAAACCTGATAGAGGGTCACTAACCTGATAGAGGGTCTCTCACCTGATAGAGGGTCACTAACCTGATTGATAGAGGGTCACTAATCTGAACCTACTCAACAGTGATGGGTGCTTGCAGAGAGATGGGAGGATGGAGTGTGATGATTAAAGGCGCAGAGTTTCTCTTTGGGGTCATCAAAATGATCTATGGCTGTTAAATGATTGCATCACTCTGAATACACTAAAAAGTTGTTTGCTTTTTTATTTTTTATAAAAGTTCACTTTAAATGGTGAGTTGTATGGTTTGCAAATTTTAAATCAATAAAGGTACGGTTATGTACCTTCCAGCAGTTTTTCAGAGACTGTAAATTGCTTAGGCAGTTGTCCATTTTTCTCAGAGTAAGAGGTGGATTTGAACTGCCTGATTTGGGGTTGGCAGCGTGTAACTCCTTATCACTAGGCCACTGAAGCTCTCTCACAAAATTACTACCTCCTCAGCACACCACTCCAAAAAAGGAGACAGACTTAGACCTGTGTCTGAAGTCAAGTAGTTCACACAATAACTCTCTATGTGATATTCCCTCTGGTCCTCCTAGTAACCCTGTGATGGAGGACCTGCCTCCACCTGACAGACATCACAGTGCTTTGACTGGTCTCAAACCTGACCTGAGCTCCAAAACGGGAAGAGAAAATCAACTTAAGTACCTACCTAATGCAAGATGTTGTGCCAAGGTTGTTCACACATCCCCTCAGTCACTGAGATACCCTGTAAAGAAGGTATTATTGCTCCGTTTTATAGATTATTAATTCTAGGCTCAAAGATGTATAAGCTGTAAGACCTGAGACAAATGGGCCTGACAGAGCAGTAAGTACTCAGACCTAGCTCTGCACAATGCCAGTGTTAGTGCGCAGGAGAAACACTCTGTCCACCCCTGGGTCCCTGAGAGCTGAGTCCAGTGACCTGACTGCTGGTGTCTCTGCTCGCTCTCACTCCTTCTCGCCTCTGTAGCACGTCCTCTCACTCTTCTCTGTCCACTCCTCTCACCCGCCTATTTGTCCGCCCCCACCACACAGAACAATAAGCAGGTTTGGCACCATAGAAAGCTGGCCCCATTCCCTAAGGGGGAAAAAATAAATCCAGGGCCAGATAAACTCATCAAGGAAACCCTGAGGGGCCTAGAGGAAGAGGAAGAGACATTTCCTTACTGCAAATGGGTCAAGTCTGTCATGAGACCCCACTTGCCAGAAGAGCCTTCTGAGAAGAGTGGAGAGGGCATGATTCGGGACCTCCTAATCAGAACCTCCACCTGGGGCGAACTCTCCAGAAGCAGGTTTCACAGAGGGGCAGCAGTGATAACAGAGACTTATCCGAATGGGTCAGGTGTTTTGGCCTATACCAGAATTCTAGACGCTGAACTTCTAAACCAGCCCACATATCAAATGCCAGCCCTCACCTTTTCTGAGAAGTGACCATAGCGTGTTTCAGGGAATGAAGTGCCCACATCTGGCTCACATTGCCTTACCTCCCTGTTGGCACACAGGTGCTAGGATCTGATCTGGGGAAAGGGGGTTTCCACACATGGCAAGATGGCTCAAGAAGAGGATGGTAACGTATAAGGTAAGGTCATTCCAGACCCCGAGGACAGGGCTTCTCTGTTAGGACCAGTCAGTAAGGTCCTGGCACAGACTGGCTGAATGAAGGCCAGCTTCTGCTGGAGTGGAGCTATGTCCTGTAAAAAGACAGAAGGTCCGTCAGGATTCCACTGCAGAGCCACGGCCAAGATGAGGGGTAAGTGGGGTCTCTCCACCATGTCTGAGAGGATTATCCTAAGGAAGACACTGGAACAAGAGAATAAATTAAATCAAGGGATGAAAATAGTTAAAGGAGGTTGAGAGGAGTTTGAGGACGCATCTGAGAAATGGTCATGCACAAGGAAAGAGCCTGCGGTCTGAGATCAAGAATAGGAGCTAGATCAGAGGCAGGGTGGCTTGAAGTGTTCAAAGTTAATCAGGAGAATGGAGAAATGTCTGGAAAAATGATCAAGGGAAGGAGTACAGTCACCAAGAAGGTGGTTGGGGACTAAGGCAGGGTGGTGGCGATAGATCAGGAGAGGGGGAAAACCTGTCAAGTTTAGAGATTGGGTTGGGAGGTTTGAGGTAGGCTGGGAGATAGGGCAAGGGAATGGAGCTTGAGGGTCTTTCCTATAGGTGGGGTTACTTCTCTCTTCTCTTCCTGAGAAAGCTCTACTGGCACCAAGAAGGGTCTACATAGGGAACCAGCTTGGTTCTCCTGCCTCTCCTCAGAGTGTCATCCTGAGTATTTCTTTCTTTCTGTTAATCTCTGTTATGCAACCTTTAAGGGGAAACACTGAACTTATAAGGTTCTGACCTTCCAAAAAAGCAGAGTTAGAGGGAGAGTTACAGTGTGTCATAGTTTCTGCAATAGATGCTACCAAGGAGATAGCTTGTTTCAAATCCCAGATTAATTTCTCTGTATATAAGAACAGTTAACTGGGGTGGGGGGGTGGGGAGAAGAGAAGTCCCTCAGGACTTGTTGCATCCTCTAGATTAATCACACAAAAAGTGGTTTTCTGGTGAGCTTTGGAGGAAAATTTAAGGCTAAAGAAAATCAGTAGGGTTGCCATGATCCCATAGGTGGGCACACTGAAGAGATGGTCACACACACAGTCATACACACACCCCCTCTGACAAACTCACATATTCCCAGAGAAGGTTCATAGGGTTGCTCTGAGTTGTAGTTGATTTGATGGCACATAAAAACAACAACCCAATCTCATGTTCAAAATGCACATGCAGAATCAAACACACGACCACAAGCACCTGTAATTTCTCTCAGTGTCGTGCAAAAGCACACATTCCATCACCCATGTCCAATTCTACAGGTCATCTTGCTTTCCCACAATGTACACATCTTGTTCTACAAACAAATTCTCATATAAAATCCAGTATGTACAGCCATACTGGCCTACAACCACAAACTCACAGCCACAGAAACTTGCATCACATTCAGTCTTACACACAAATTGACATGCACATAGAACCATATCTACATATTATACTTCCATAGGTGTGTTCACACACACACACACACACACTCACAGTCGGCATATTGAGAGTCAAAGCTTGTGAGCCTGTTTATAATCACATGCATACTGGTGAATGTGCAGTGCCATTTTCCTCATCACGTAACTGACACCCTACTGGCATTCACGCCCTGCAAATATCACCCATTTCTCCACACAGACACAGGCTCAAGAACATGCAATGACAGCCGCCCACTCAGCAGACTCCTGGCCTTCCGTTAAGACCTGACTGCCTGACCACATTCATTACACAGGCCAAGCTTATCCTGAATAGGATAGAGCACTAAGTCTGAGCCCCAGAAGACAGCCCACATTTCTTTCTCTGCCTACAGGAATGTTGATCTTGGGGTTTCTGCTGGTCATCCCCAGTTGCCTTGGCCACTTTGAGGACCTTGTCAAGTGCTTCCAGGATCCCAAGTATGAGTCCATCCTCCTCACAGCCCAGAATGGGCTCCATACTTCCCCACTGCCCAAGCGTGTGGTGGTTGTGGGAGCTGGAATGTCAGGTCTGGTAGCTGCTAAGACCCTGCAGGATGCTGGCCACCAGGTAAGGAGGCTTTGGAAAGGCTCAGTCCTTTGTATTCCTGTTTGTTTCTTTGGATGTGAAAGAGCTGGGTTACCATCAACTCCTGAGCAACTGTACAGACTCTACTGAATCTCTTAATCCTTAATTATTCTCAAAAATCTGGGTTCACCCATAAGACTTGACTTTAACGGCAACTTGTGTTTTAGTAAAAACAAAAATGGAGAAGATTCATGCTAAGCCCAGTCAGATAAGGGCTTAGCAGGCTGCCTATCTCTTGCCCACCTGCCAAGTCCTTTCTCTTCACTTACATTACTAAAAGGCTCTTCTTCTTCAAGCATTGCCAGTTTGTTGTCCTGCATGTGCAGGAGTCTAAGGGTTGAGATTCCAGGAGAGCATGTGTGGTGGGGTAAGGATAGAAACAAAGGCTGCAGGGGAAAGGAGGGGATGGTCCTGAGGCTGACAATAGCTTCTCCAAACCCCAGGTAACCGTTCTGGAAGCCAGTGACCACATTGGAGGGCGAGTGTTCACATACAGGAATGAGAAGGAGGGATGGTACTATGAACTGGGTCCCATGAGAATTCCAAAATCCCACAAGTAAGTTCTAGCAAAGGAGTGGAGCAAAGGGTAAGTAGGAGGGAAGAGGATGAGAGAGCAGGGAAACCTTGCTGCTATCGTGTCAAAGCTGGTTCACGTGCCCTGTTTCATATGATGAGTTCTGCTGCCAGGACTGAGGCTTATGTCTTCATTTAACAGAGAAGACTGGGCCTCAAAGCCCAAATCACACAGAAAGTGACAAGTCTCAAACTAATAGATATAATCTCAAAACTCATTGAGTCAGAACTGACTCAGAGCTGACACTCCCTAACCCCCAGCAGGTTTCAGGAGGCTGTAAATCTGTAAATCACAAGGGAGGAAATTGTCCAGCTTTCTCCTGTGGAGCAACTGGTGGATTTGAACTGTGTGCCTTTGGGATTGCCGCACAACTCCTTACCACTAGGCCACCAGAGCTCCCTAAAATAATAATAGTGGCAGTGGTAATTACTGAGAGCTAACTACGTGCTAGACCCTCATCCAAAGCACTACCGGGCATTTTTCCATTTGATCCTTGTAACCATATAGTTTGATACTCTTACTATTCCTGTTTGCAAACAGGAAACTGAACACAAGCTTTAAATGACTCCCTCAAGCTTTTCCTATGAGAAAGTGGTAAAGATTTCCTTCAGAATCAAGAAGGAGCCTGGTAAAACTGCATATTTAACCCTAAACTGCAACTGAAGGAATTCAGCTCCTGGTTCCAAAAGAAACTTGGTGTTCCACAGCCTATACAATTATGAATTTTTTAACCTTAAACATAAACCAAACTCAAGATTTTCCCCAAACACACACACAAGTGGAACATATTAATCAGATCAAAGTAACATTCTTTAGATATTGTCTCAAATTTATTTATAAATGAAAGCTAGAATTTCAATTACTGTCTCAAAAAAAAGAGTCTCTATTTCTACATTTGGATACAATAACAGGGATTTGCAAAGGATCATTATTCAATGATGGACAAATTCTCCACCCCTGGGTGATTTAATCACCTTTCCTTTATGTTCTGTTTGTCGCAGAACCTGAAGGAAACAAACTAATGGTTCAGAAAAGTGACAACTAGATTAGAGTTAAGGAGGTACTTTGTCCCTGGGCAATTTTCCCCAGAAGCTTTTATTTGAGGTTGGCAGGAACGAGGAACTATTGGGATGGGTTTTGTGTTATGCCTATTTCTGCTCTAGGCTGATCCACACTTATATCAATAAGCTGAAGCTGAAGTTGAACAAGTTCATTCAGTATGATCCCAACACCTGGTACCTCATCAATGGACGACGCTACCGCACCTGGGAAATCAAGGCCAATCCAGAGCTCCTGGGCTACTCTGTGAACCCCACGGAGAAGGGCAAGAGTGCCAACAAGCTCTTCCATGAAACCATTGACAAGGTGCCTTCTGTTTCATCCCTCCTAGGGTCAGCCCCAAGGTCAGATGGCAAAGTAGCAGATCCAAGTCACCTGAAACTAGGTTCTCTTGTGGTTATTGTTGGTTCATCTTCCTTTTCAGATCCCCCCAGGAATGTTACCATGCCCACCACAGAGCCCACCCCTAACACTTCTGTCTCTGGGCTTAATAGTTTACTACTTGAGCTGTGGCAGTGGAAGGAAAGAGAATCACTAAATAACCCAGCTCTTCAAAATAAGTTAATTTTCCTCTTCACATAAAAATGTAGACTGTAAAATGTCCTTATCACCAGGTGGGGGTATTTGGAGAAAAGGGAATTTTTCAGGAGCTCCTAGAACCATGTTCGACCCTCCTTCCATCTCCACAACCCTTTCCTTCATTCTCTTCATAGTAATATCCAGGGAACCAAGGAATCCTGCCTCTGCCTTTTTTGATCTAATCTAACATTCTTTTTACTTCTGCAGCTCAAGGAAAATCTAAAAACTTTCAACTGTACTCAACTGATGTCCTTGTATGATTCTTACTCTACCAAGGTGAGTGGAGCAGAGAAGTTTCATGATAGAGGTAGAGGGAGTCTGCACATCAAAGGCCCCTGAGGTAGTCCTCTGACTGCCAGGACTCAGAGAGATTCCTCTGCTAAAGCCTACATCTCCCTGGAGCCCAGCCCTATCCTTGGCCTAACCTCAAGTCCAGGACCCTGAAGAAGCCCTTTCTTACATATTGGATCCTTCACTTGGCATTTCCACCTCTACAGGCTTACCTGGTGAAAGAAGGATTGCTGAGCCCTGGAGCAGTAGACATGATTGGGGATGTGATGAATGAAGATGCTGGCTACTATAAGTCCCTCCTTGAATCACTGAGGATTGAAATAATTTTCTCCAATAATGATGGGTGAGGCTGATCTGGGACAAGGACTAGGTAGAGTCTGTCCTGAGTCCTTCAACACTCAGAGCAGAGAAAGGGAACTACAGTTTACTGGACATTTACTCATGTGCCGAGGTATGATGTTAAGCACTTTCCAAGATTATCACATTTAGTCTTTATGACCACCTAAAAGGTATGTATAGTTATAAAATGTAGTCATTTTACAGATGAGAACGCCTTAGCAATTATATTCTCTGAGCCAGTGTTAACTCAAATTCACACCATTTGGACAAGGGATGGAGTCAAACTCAGAATCCAAGCCCAAGTCTGTGCACAGTTCAGCCAAGGTTTCTTCTACCTAGGAAACAGAACTGAATGGTGGCTGAACATATAGGCTATAGAATTTTTCTCTGAGTGTCAGTTTTCTGAACTATAAAACTAGACAATAATCTCTTCTTCTGGGGGATGAATGAAAGTGATATATAGCTCATGTATCCAGGATAGGAACCAGTCCTTGGAAAGGGACATCATGCTTGGGATGATGAAGAGACAGTACAAGAGGGAGATCCTGGATGAGATGGATTGACTCAGTGACTGGGGTAAATGAGGGCAGGTGTGTCAGAGATGATAAGGTTGACTCATGATAGGAGCAGGTTCCAGGGCTGTTGTATCTAGTGTCGCTATGAGTCACAAGCAACTTCATGGCACATAACAACATCCAGGACAGAGTAAAAGAAGTGCATGTCCTCCATTTTTTATTAGGAACACTGTAGCAAACTCAGATGCTGGTCTAGCCAGCCCACACTCACCCTTTTCCCTCTCTTCACCCTCGCAGCTTTACTGAGATCACTGGTGGCTTTGACCAGCTTCCCAAAGGCCTTGGTGCCAGCCTGGAACCTGGCACCATCCATCTGAGGTCCAAGGTGGAGATGGTCGTGAGAGATGGGCCTGAGGTCAGGATTTCCTATCGCGTGGGTGGACCTGACTCCACCTTGCGCACCATTGTCGCAGACTATGTCATCATCTCATCCTCCGCCAAGGCCACTCGCCTCATCACCTTTAACCCACCCCTCTCTTCCCGCAAAATGGATGCTCTCCGCAGCCTGCATTACACTAGCTCCACGAAGGTGATCCTGGCCTGTAATGAGTCCTTCTGGGAGCGAGATGGCATCCGGGGAGGAGTCTCCATCACCGACCATCCCTCGCGCTACATCTATTACCCCAGTCACAGTATGCCCAACGGCAAGGGCGTCCTGTTGGCCTCCTACACCGTGGCCGATGATTCCATGTTCTTCGTAGCCATGCCTCAAGACCAAGTGGTGAACATCGTGCTGGATGACTTGTCAGCTGTGCACCAGATCCCCAAGGAGAAGCTACAGCGCATGTGCCCCACCTCTGTGGTCAAGCACTGGTCTCTTGACCCCTTCACCATGGGTGCCTTCGCCGAGTTCACACCCTACCAGTTTGTGGACTTTTCACAACAGCTCTTCCAGCCAGAGGGCCCCATCCACTTTGCTGGTGAGCACACATGCCTGCCCCATGCCTGGATAGACACTGCCATCAAGTCTGGACTCCGGGCTGCCCAGGATATTCAGGCTGCAGTGGACAAGGAGGCTGCGGTGGGACAGAGGCCTCTGCAGAAGACTTCCCTCAACGTCTAATAGGGTACTTCTCCCTTATCCTCACAGAAATCTCTGAGGGATCCTGATGAGGAGCAGGCTTGCAGGGTGTGGGGTGAGAGGAAGAGGCAGTGAGCACCAGGAGAGAAATCACCATAAACGTCCCTGAGCCATAAACGGGAGCCCAAAATGCCAGACAGAGAAACACCCTGGCAAATGCACGAGAAACATGAGCCCCTTTTCTGCTTCTCTCGCCTTATCAGACCTCAGCTAAGAAGAGGCATCGTATCAGGGTGTATGAAAGGATGAGAAGAAAATTAAGTATTAAAATGTTAGAATCTGCCCTTACTATGGAAGAAATTGTCTGTTGCTGCATATAATAATAAATTTTTTTAAAAAAAGAAAAATATCAACAGAACTCTCATTTCTGTCACCTGTAAATGGAAGTTCCTAAAGGAAAAGACAAACCCCTAAACCACAGTAAGGCTAAGACCCAGGTGGGCTGCCCATAACCCCCAAGGTACACACAAGCCCCATCATCTCAGGCCTAAGCCAAAGCTCTCCCATTCTGGCAGAGGGAAGAGAGTGTGTGGTTGTGTGACAGAAAGGGTTCCTTGGCTGCAGTGCCAGCATCTTGACTCTACTGGCCCATGCTTTTCCTTATGTCCCTCACCTCCCCTTCCCCAACCTGGACCGGTGGTTTCTACCTTGGCAGTCTGTCCAAGCTCATTCAACATGCATCTCTCCCACTTTTTTTTTTCACGTTTTATTTTTTGTTAATTGATATTTTGACAAAAGTTTACAGAAAACATGGATTTCCATTAATTCATTGCTGCACATTTTCCTCCCTACCCCTCTACCAGTTCGCTTTTCTCTTTAAAAATATTTTTTTCATTGTTGCACAATTTCCTCCCCCTCCCCCACCCCCAGTCCACTTTGCTATGCACCTCTTATTCTGGACTTTTGTTATGCAAATAAAACCTAATCATATATTTATTTTAGACAGTTGTTTCCCTCATCTGTTTCAATGCAGTGCTCATTATTTATCCCCTTTTTTCTTAGTTTCCCCCAACCACCATGTCTGTCCTGTTTTATAACAGTGGCATTGTGCAGTATTTGTCCTTTTGTGACTGAGATATTTCACTCAGCATAATGTCTTCCAGGGTCGCCCATTTTGCATAATATTTTATTAGTTCCTTATTTTTCAGTGCTGTATAGTATTCCATTGTGTAACTATACCACAGCTTCTCAATCCATTTATCTGTTGATGGACATTTGGGTTGCTCCTATCTCTTTGCTATTGTGAACAACACAGCAATAAACATAGGTGTGCGTATATCTGTTTGGGTGACAATTCTGATTGCTTTAGGGTACATTCCCAGTAGTGGAAGTGATGGGTCAAATGGTATTTCTATGTCCAAGTTTTTGAGGAAGCACCATACTGCTTTCAAGAGTGGTTGCACCATTTTACACTCCCACCAACGATGAATAAAGGTTTCAATTTCTTCATAACCTTGCCAACATTTGTTGTTTGCTGCTCTATTGAACTTTGCTATTGTTACTGGAGTAAGATGATATCTCATAGTGTTTAAATCTTTCCCAATTTCTGCTTCTCTCTAAAACCTAGCCTGTCCTTTAAACCCAACTTATCCTCCCTCCCAAAGCTTTCTTTTTTATTTTCCTTTTTAAAAAATGATTGACATTTAATCATTCATATACATTTTGTTTCATATCATTCATTATAGTGGATTAATACAACGAATCATAATGTCTCATTGAACTCCCATTGTACATTGCCTTTCCCTTCATTCAACCTATTTCTTATAATTATCACTCTCCTCTTCCTCCTTCTTAATTCCTGTTAACCTTCCAATATTGATTTTGTGGGTTAACTTTTCCTTAGATTTTTTTTTAAAGTCACTCAATCACACACATTTTATTTCATATCCTTAATTACAATACCCACAATGCCTAATCATCTACTCATTCTTTCCATTTACATATGCCTATAAAATATGGGTTGCACCTCAACATCAAGAAAACAAAAATTCTCACTACTGGGCCAATAGCCAATATCATGATAGATGGAGGAAAGAATGATGTTGTCAATTACTTCACCTTACTTGAATCCACAATCAATACCCTTGGTACCAGTAGTCAGGAGATTAGGAGATGTATTGCACTGGGAAAGTCTGTAGTCAGGTACCTCTCCAAATTATGGAGGAGCAATGATGTTAATTTGAAGACTAAGGTACACCTAATTCAGGCCATGGTCTTTTCAATCACTTGACATGTTACTGATAGCTGGACAATGAATAAAAATGGCAAAAGAAGAAGTGATGCTTTTGAACTGTAGTATTTGAAGAAAAAGATTGAATATTCCATGGATTGCCAAAAGAGCAGATATGTATTAGAGAAGGTACAGCCAGAATGCTCCTTGGAGGCACAGATGATAATACTTCATCTCACATACTTGGGGCATGTTGCTAGGAGAGGCTATTCCTTGGAGAAGGACATCATGCATAGAAAGTTAAAGAGAGCAAAGAAGAGGAAGACTTTCAACCAAGTAGATTGGCACAGTAACTGCAGAAGTGGCTTTGAGTGTGTCAGAGACTGTGAAGATGGCAAAGATAGGACAGGGTTTGTATCTGTTGCTTATCAGGTTGCTATGAGTCATACTCAACTTGACAGCACCTAACAACAAAAGCACACAAGCCAGTTATAATTAAAGAAGAAGTTCAAGCCACAATGGCACTGGAAAAGAATAAGGCCCAAGGAATCAATGTGATATTTATTCATTGACATGCTTTAACCTGTCTATGCCAGAAATTTAGAGGACAGCTGCCTGGCCGACTGACTAGAGGAGATCCATATTTATACTCATTCCCATGATAGGTGATCCAATAGAATGTAGAAATTATCTCACAATATCATTATCACATTAAGTTATTGCTGAAGATCATCCAAAAACAACTAAAGCAGCACATTGACAGAGGGTTGCCAGAAGTTCAAGCTGAGCTTAGGAGAGACCATAGCACTTAGGATATTATTGCTGATGTCAGATGGATCCTGGCTGAAAGAAGAAACTACCAGAAAGATGTCTATTTGTGCTTTCTTATGCAAAGGTATTTGACAGTGTAGATCATAACAAATTATGGCTAACTTTGAGAAGAATGAGAATCCCAGAACACTTAATTGTGATTATGCAAAACCTATACCTAGGCCAGGAAGATGTTTGTGCAAACAAAGCAAGAGAATACTTGTTGTTGTTGTTGTTAAGTGCCATCGAGTCACAGGCGACTCATAGCAACTCTATGAAGGAGAGTCCTTGACGCTTGGGTGTCTTTCATCCTCTCTCCAGGTTCATAGGGTTTCCAGAGCCAGCTATTATGGAAGTGGATGCCACAAAGTTTAAAATTCAGAGAACTGTATGTCAGGTTGTATCCTTTTGGTCTTTATGAAAAATAATGTGGTGTCAGGATCAAAGGAAAACTCATCAACAACATCCTTGCTTGCTAGAAATGAGGAGGATTTGAAGTGCTTGCTGCTGAAGATTAAAGACTACAGTCTTCAATACAGATTATATCTCAAAATCAAGAAAATAAAAATTATCTCCACTGGACTGATAGGCAACATTATGATCAATGGTGAAGCAATTAAAACTGTCAACAAACTCATCTTACTTGGATCTACATTGCACTGAGAAAGTGTGTAGTCTGAGACCACACCAAATTGCTGAGGAGCAATAATACCAGTTTAAACACTAAAGATAAGAGTGCATATATAACTGTCTAAAAGTAATAGATGGTTAGGCATTATTCAGCCCAGAATAAGAAGTATATCATTGCAAAGAGGACTAGGGGGGAGGAGAGGGAGGAGAGGTAGGTAATTGTGCAACAGTGAATGAATTTCTTTTAAAAAAAAAAGAACTGGGGGAGGGAGAAGGGAGGGAAAGGGGTAAAATGTGCAACAATGGATTAATGAAAATCTAACTTCTCTGTGTTTGTTAAAATCACAATTATAATAATTTTTTTAAAGACTAAGATGTGCCTTATTGGGGAATGTTAGGGAGGAGATGGAGGTCTCTGGCTAGGGCAGATCACCTAGCTCTGGATAAATGCAAGCCTAAGAGGGCTGCCACATCTGTTGAGCTGGGAGTGGTCTGCATTGAGCTGGGATTCTCCTGTCCAATCTGTATAATCCATGTCTACAAATCCACCCCACTCTGTCTTCCTGTTTACTTGCTTGTATATAAGTGCACCATAACCCCCAATAAAGTTGAGTCAGCTCTCTGAAGCACTCCCGGAGAGGTGTGTCTCTGTTGTGCTTACCCTAATCAGGGCATTGCTGCTCCCCACTGGCAAATGTACAGCAACAGTGCCTGACTCAAGCTATATTGAGTTTGGGGTTTTTGTTTTGTTTTGTTTTGCTTTGCTTTGCTTTCAATCACCTGCTATGCATCTGAAAGCTAGACAATGAATAAAGAAGACAGAAGAAATGATGCCTTTGCATTGTAGAGTTGGAGAAGAGTACTGAATATCCCATAGACTGATATAAGTATAAACAGATATATCTTGGAGAAGGTGCAGCCAGAGTGCCCCTTGAAGGCAAGGGTTTTGCAGCTTCATCTCATCTACCTTAGGTACGTTGTTATAAGAGGCTATGCTACCCTGGAAAGGAATATCATGCTTAGAAAGATGCAAAGCTAGCAAAGGAGAGTAAGATTCTTAGCAAGATGAATTAATACAGTATTGGTGATAATAAGGATGGCAGAAGATAGGAGAGGGTTGAAATCTATTGTTCATAGGGTTCCTATGGGGCATATATGACTCGACAGCACCTAAAAGCAACAACAAATGTGTACAAAAGTTGGACAATGAGTAAGAAAGACTATCAAGACTATTCATGCATTTGAATTTTTTTTCCATTCACATTGTGCTATCAAGTCACCTGCAACTCATAGAGACCCTATGTACAACAACTCTGAACCCTGCCTTTCCTGAGCCAGTCGCATCATCTCCAGAAAACCTAATCAATCCCAT